ACTCCCTCCATTTTTAATAAGTGTCGTTTTGAGAAGTTGTACAATAATTAATAATATTTTTTTTTATCAATAATAACTATCATTAATGAAGATAGAGATGAATATTTTCATAAAAGATGAAAAGTGAAAATGAAAAGACGTAGTATAATTATTAGCTAAATGAGAGTAATAATGAAAAAATATATACAAAAGATAAAAAACGTCATTTATTTGGATAATGGTTGATAAATCTAAAATGACATTTAAAAAAAATAGGAGGTAGTACGTTATATCAAGGTTTCTCAAGTCGAAGCAATTATTGAACGGGTAAAGTTATTGGTTCAATGATTCACTAATCGGACCAGTGTTAATCTGATTGAATTGGGTTTGCTTATATAAATATATATATATATATATATTATAATGTATAATTAAATATATATATCGTTGACGGTGGGTAGCCAAAAGTTATGAAAAATATGTTTTAATGCTGCTTAATCGAGAGTTACAGAATAATTATAATATATGTTAATGGTGTAGAACATGGACAGATCGTGATAATATCAACATACGTATAAAGAGCGAGACATGTCGATCGACAAGGAAATTATTCTTCTAGATTTTTATTAAAAAAGATGGGTTCTTGTGTCTTGAACCCAAAGGGAAGTCGGTATTTATACACAAAAAAAAGTGACGCATTAAATGATAAGTGTCAGCAAGGGGCGTTGGGTGGCGCGCGCATGTATCCATGCAGAGTGTGATGGGACGGATTGGACGGTGTCTTCAGCTTTATCAGTTCATTATTCAGACTTGCGGTGATTGGTAGGTTTCTTCGAGAAGACTCCAATGGCGATCGGCGGGCCGATCGGAAATTTTGTAGGTACAACGTGGAGGCCCACATATTTCCAAGTGATGAGAGATCGCTGAGTCGCATGGAAAACTATATCTCAAAATTTTGTCAATACGCCATGAAAATGTATTGTTGATCACGTAACAGTACGCTAAATGGATACGAAACGTCCGTTCGAAGCATTTAACGAAGGGATGTATCTTGTCGGAGTTTAGACATGAAAATTCGAGTGCAGACATGTATCTTGCAATTCGAGCCTTAAAGTGATAAAACACAATGATTGGAGGAGAGCGTAACATATAAATAGGAGGTACATCGTCATCTTTTCAAAATCACTTTGCAATCTTGAAATTTTGAAAAACTTCTGACAAAATCATTAACATGTCTTTATCGTCCAACGATTGGGAGATGAAGGAATCGAAATTCAAATTTCGACAATGCACAATGCACTATGAGACCGTTCATCCTAAAGACGAAGAAAGCACAGCAGAATAGCAGATTTAAAGCCAACAAACCTGAAATCTCGGGTTATCTTCAACGGTTAGTCAAATTTTAAGAAAAAACCTGAATTTGACCCTAACCAAGACGTAAAAGGAAAAATAAAGAGCCGCATCACAAGGAACGTGGTTCTCAACATGCCTCTGTGAAAGTTCCCGATGCTAGCCCCGCTAATGGCCGGACGGTGCAATTGTTTTTAACACATTCTTTTTAAAATACTTATATATACTTATTTTATTCCTCGACATGATTTTCCACACTTCTCAAAACTGTAATGATAAGGTGTAGCATTACCAATTACATGGTTCTATTTAACTTTCCTATTTTAAATGAAACATGAAAGGAGAAAACGTGATATATAACTAGGGGAATCACTATAGTCTCGTCACAAAATAATTTCGTGGTATAAATTAATCATTAATGTAAGGTAGATAATCCATGATTAAAACATGAATCATTCTGTCACTTAATTATAGTCATTTCCTATGATTAATTATAGTCATTTCCTATGATTAGCTGGCTTCTTTCATCTTCTAATTTTTCCTCTCAAACTCATCTTGCAAGTCCTAAATGTAAAAATTTGGGAACTGTGCTACACGATATAATTCGTGAACATATATGTAGTTTAGAGATTATTGATTCGTGTATCTATCAAGTATGGACAAACCATATTAAAATAAAATGCAATGGATAAAAATACTTTTGTTGAATAACAAAATATTGTTAAAAATTGTAAGCGAATGTTAAATAAAATCTAATAACTTAAGTAATTGTGATAAATAATAGTCATTTAAAATATACAAGTGGAGGAACATTAAATTTTATTTAAAAATGTGTTTTAGGAATTGCTTTTTATTTAATTGTATTGGCAAGCTTGAGNATTGTTTTTAATTTATTAAAATTAAAAAAAAAAAAAATCAATTAAGATAAAATTAACTTAAAGGAAAAAAAAAAACAGTCTTCGCTTCCACGTCCAACCTCCGCTCCACACTGCTTTTTCCTCACTACAAAGCCCAAATATCGCACTGTGACCAGTGAAGCTTCATCAGATTTTCTTTATTTGCTGTAAGTTTTGGATTCTTGTATGTTTTATCCCTTTCAGTTAACTCTATGCCTGAACATTTTTTTTTTTTTTNCCTTTTTGCATTATAAATTGGATGTTTTGGCATCTTGTATCCGCGGTTAATTTGTGGAATATGATCATATTTTCTAGTGTAATTTGTGTGAATCTCAACAGCTGTTTGATTATTATTTTCATTATTGGTATAATTTTGTGGATGGAGCATTTATGTTTTTCAATCAGTATACGTTGGTATAAATTACAAAATCACTGGTCATTAATAAAAATTATTGGTTAGTCAGCTGTGAACATTGGGTGCTTGATATGTATGTTCATATTCATAGAAATTTTAGCTAATTTTGCATCCGTGTTGAAGGGAAGTGCGAATAAGTTATTATGCTTGCGGCATAGAGGAATGAGGACAGAGTTAAGTACGATGATTTGGTTACCAATCTTTCTGTTGCTTTTGATGGAGAACTGTGGAGGGGCAAAATCAGCCTCAAACTACTTAATTGGGCTTGGAAGCTATGACATCACAGGGCCAGCAGCTGATGTCAACATGATGGGATATGCTAACATGGAACAGACTGCATCTGGCGTGCACTTCAGGTTGCGAGCTCGGGCCTTTATTGTTTCAGAGAGAAAAGGGAAACGAGTCGTGTTTGTTAATCTGGATGCTTGTATGGCATCACAGCTGGTGACAATAAAAGTTCTCGAGAGGTTGAAAGCGAGGTAGTTTCTTAATTCTGTAACACTTTATATGGAACTTTAATTTGTCATTTTTGTCTTGAACGGTGGACTAGGGATTTGTTAAATCTTCGGGTTGCTTATACTAAAATGATAATAGAAAAAAAGAACTTCACATAAATCTTCTGCTTGATTTTGTAGAATTTGGTCATGAACCTTTCATCATGTTATTGCAGGTATGGAGATCTCTACACTGAAAGCAATGTTGCTATTAGTGGCATTCATACTCATGCTGGTCCTGGCGGTTATCTTCAATACATTGTTTACATTGTGACGTCCCTTGGTTTTGTGCGCCAATCTTTTGATGCTCTTGTTGATGGCATTGAGCAGAGCATCATACAGGCTCACAATAACCTCCGACCTGGATCAATATATGTGAATAAAGGTAAAAAGAAAATGACTATGATGATTTGTTTTATGCCAATCGTGTCAAGCAAGCATGTTGAGGCAGTGCATCTGCTGTTGTTATGCATCATGTTATGCATCACCATCAGAAAGAACTAGGGTATAAGTTATGTTAGATATAAACTTACTGTACAATTGATCTTTCATTCCGTATCTTCATCTTCATGACTTTCGGAGTTTTCTTTTGCGTTTGAGCTGTTTTAGGCAATTTCTAGATACTGCTAATACGTAAAGAAAAAAGTGCTTTGCATCTGATATGGATCATATTAACTGTATCGTAGTTGTGAAATGCTTGCTGTAGCTCAAAATTTGTGCCTTTTTAGAAATTATTTTGGCTTCACTTACAAGTTGTTGCTGGAGTACAAAAAGTTGTACAGCAAAACCATGACATAAATTGCTGAAATTTCTGTGTATAAAGTGAAAATCTCCTTGCTCAGAACAACAGCCAATTGCGAAATGTATATGTGTATATAAAAACAACAATATTAACATTACTAATAATAATATACCAACATAATCATAATAATAATAAAAAATTCATGATAACATACCAACATAATCATGGGTAGTGGCTTTTGGAGGATTTACCTTGCCCAACTTGCTGGTTGTACTGCTTAGCAAGGGTTGTGCCGTCCAGTCACTAGAGAACCCACCTGAAATAAAACTTTACAAGAATGTGCTCATAATTGTTGTATTTGGTGTTAATGATTATTTTGGGTTTGTAGTCTCTTTGGTCTTTGCTATTCTTACCATCTCAATAACAGGAGAGCTTTTGGATGCTGGTGTTAATCGCAGTCCCAGCGCTTATCTCAACAACCCATCTGCAGAACGAAGTAAATATAAGTATGACGTGGATAAAGATATGACCCTCTTGAAGTTTGTCGATGATGAATGGGGACCAATAGGCAGCTGGAATTGGTTTGCTACGCATGGGACTTCTATGAGCCGTACAAATTCATTGATAAGTGGAGATAATAAAGGAGCTGCTGCTCGATTTATGGAAGACTGGTTTGATAAGAATCATGGTGGAAGAAACATTTCATTCTACAAATCCAAGCCTGCCATAATCCCCAGAAGAGTCTCAAACATAATACCGTTTGTTAAAAACAGTCGTAAGTATATGAGGACTTTTTGGTTTAAGTTTGCTGCACTTATGGAAAAAAACTTGCATATCACTCGATAATGTTGGCTTTTAGTAGTTGTAGAAATGTAATAACAAGGGATTTGAACTATGCTTCGGGCAAGCTCGGGACTAGAGACTTCTAAAATTTGTTGTAGCACAGTTAATGTAATGTTGAAGGGGACAGTTCTCTATTGTGTTGAAAAAGATTTATGAATTTCTATAGGATTGGTTTGTCTATAATATTCATGACAGACCTAAAGCTTGAAAACCTTATTCAAAATGAAAAAGGCTTGTTATTTTGATATAGCATATTGAAACTAGTGATATGTTGGTCATGTAATGCAGATCACGAGTTACTAGAACTTGCTGCTTCTTTTAAGTCATCATCAGGAAAATCAACCACTCGGTTTACGAGCATTGCAACACGTGTAAGAAGTGCCTACCGGCAAGCTGATAGGCCAAGATTTGTATCGGCATTTTGTCAAACCAACTGTGGTGATGTCAGTCCCAATGTGCTGGGTACCTTCTGTTTAGACACAGGCTTACCTTGTGACTTCAATCATAGCACATGTGGTGGAAAGAATGAGTTATGCTATGGCCGAGGACCTGGGTATGTTGCTTTTTCATTCTTGTATTGAATAGAAGTAGATTGCCAATTCTTTAATTGATGAATAGAAAGTGGATATGGTGTTGACCAAACACTCATCTCTCAATTGCTTGGTAGGTACCCCGATGAGTTCGAAAGTACACGTATTCTTGGAGACAGGCAATTCAGGAAAGCAGTGGAACTTTTCAATGGAGCATCTGAAAAGTTAAACGGGGAGATTGATTTTCGCCATACATATGTTGATTTTTCTAAACTTAATATAACAATCCCAAAAGAAAGTGGAGGTACTGAGGTTGTAAAAACATGTCCTGCATCAATGGGGTTTGCATTCGCAGCCGGTACAACTGATGGACCTGGGGCTTTTGATTTCAAGCAGGGGGATGACAAGGTATGCATCATTATTTGGTTACAAAACTCTCATCTTCTTATGCTCTACGTTATTATTATTATTATTATTATTATTATTATTATTATTGTTATTATTATTATTATTATTATTATTATTATTATTATTATTTTATTATTATTATTATTATTATTTCTCGTCAGGGTAATCCATTTTGGAAACTCGTCCGCAACTTGCTTAAAACTCCAAGCAAGGAACAAGTGGACTGTCAACATCCAAAGCCTATTCTGCTTGATACTGGGGAAATGAAACAACCTTATGATTGGGCGGTAAGTTACAATTCTGCCAAAATTTGTTAACTTTCTCCATAAGGAAGTAGATAGCTTGTTGCAGCCTCTTTGAGTAGTTAAATATTTAATTAATTGGTTACAAGAAACTCGGATCAATTTGTGTTACGTATGACCTGGGATCCTGAGAAGTTTGGTAAAGTGCTGTTACATGTGATATCTTGTGCTTCTTGGAAGTATAGAGTTTGCCTAGTCTAATGATAATTTGTAAATTCGATCATTCTATGTTGATTTTGCTTTTAGTGACCTAGATAAGTATGTGCCTTACAATAAGCACAGAAGGTAAATGCAACATCTCCTGTTTTCTCTTTGACACCACACCAAAGCCTTGCCTTCTGGCCTCTGTATTTCGAAATTCTTACCCTGTTCTCCACTTTGTTAGGTTCCAGTCATTCTATAGTCAAGTCTTTAAAATTTTAAAATTTCACATGCTGACAGCATGAATCACAAAAGGTAAAATAATATAACAATCGATATTATTGATTAAAAACAATAAAAAATAAGAACAAGCATACTCCTCAAGATAGATCCCACGTACTACAGCTGCCTATAATAATCTGTAAAAATTCTGCCCAGCCTAAAAATCTGCGATACTATTAACAAGAAATATTCCTAGCTGATGACTAGATGATACTCTAGATGCATTCTCACAAATAACCTCGAACAGCTCTCCTGTTGAGAAAAACTTTTCCCAGTGTAACTTTTTTTTCTTTTTACTGTTATCTCGTTGGAGTCATATGTCTTCATTTTATATATTCTATCAATTCATCAAAATATTAGGCCTGGTTCTATCATTGCCTCTTACTAACCCCTGAGAACTTTCTGACCTTATTCTGGTGGCTGAGCGCATGTTAGATTTCATGTTGTTTTGGCCTTTACTCTGCTTTACTTGAATTCTTACATTTACGATTTTTTAGTTTCCTTTTCAGAACTATTGTTGTCTAAATATGAAGATTATTGTTGTTCATCAATTTCCAATTTCTTTCATCTAATGTTCACCTCTACTTTAATTTTTAACTTATGGTGCATTTAATCGGTTTGACCTTTTTTATGGCATTGCAGCCTTCTATACTTCCAGTTCAGATTCTGAGGATAGGGCAGCTGGTTATTCTTAGTGTGCCTGGAGGTACTAGCTGGACTCCCACTTTTCCTTTTACCAAAAATTATGTCAGTTTTAATATATTTTCTTGTGCTAGATTATTGAACTTTTCGAAAAAGCTAGTGCTTGTTCATTGTTTAGTTGATTTTGTATGGCGAGTTCTTGTTCAACGCATCATTCCAGGCAACCCGTTTTTCTTTAATTGGGAGTGGGTCAGGTTATGGAATTTCTCAGCATGACTCAAGGATTTTATATTTGTTCAGGAATATTAAATACCAATCTCTTATTTACATATTTCAGTTTTTTATCATATTATGTCTCTTAACTATATTTTACCAAAGTTCCTTTTTGGGATTAGTGCAGTGCTGTTCAAAATGTAGTTATGCGTCTCTTTCAGTTCAGATATGAGGAAATTTATTTATATAATTGTTTTGTGTGTTATGATATCGTTGTAAAATGTGCTATAAATTTTAATATCCTGGCTTTTCCAGTAAGTTTGGTCGAGTAATACATGTCCAGATTCTGAGTATTTGTGTACCAAAAAGCTTGTCTATTTTATGACATACACTAGTAAAAGTTGAAGAATGTTAAAACTAGGTAGATCTTATTTTTGACTAGATTTCGTCATGTGCCAGAGTTCACCACAATGGCTGGGAGGCGACTGAGAGATGCTGTGAAAGAAGCTCTAACGAGTGGAGGTAGCAAAAGGTATGATAGCAATATTCATGTGGTCATAGCTGGCCTGACAAATACATACTCACAGTATGTGACAACATTTGAAGAGTATCAGATACAGAGATACGAGGTTAGTTTCTTGTTCATGGTAATACAAGTATAAAAACTGCATGATTTTTTAACTTTCTTTGGGTGAAAAGGATATCGTTGCAAAAATTAGACAATAGCCTTGCACATAAAGTGTGGTTTTGGGAGTGTGTGATGTCATACTTCTCCATATATTTTCTGTTTGGGAAGCAAAATATTGAGACTGGAATATTTCTGAAAAAAATTATGAAAAGTTGCTAGAACAAGAGGGTTTTGGAGGATGATTAACCGAGTAAAAAACAACATACAGCCAAATGAAAGAAAATGTGATTTTTCTTACTTTCAGGCATTTAACTTAGGCTATGTTTGGTAAAACTAGCTTATAACTTATAAGTGATTTTCGAGCTTATAGCTTATGACTTATAGCTGAAAAGCTAGCTTATACTATAAAAGTGTGGTAAAATTAGCTGAAATAAAAATTTCAACGAGCTTATTCAAAAAGCTACCCAAAGAAGCTTATGAAATAAGCTCGAGCTTTTTAAAAAAACTCGTCCTACTCCTACCAAACGAAGTTTATTTGAATACAGGAAGCTTATAAGCTAACCAAATAAGCTATAAGTTAGCTTATTTGGTTATCAAACATAACAACATTCCTCGTCCTAATGGATGAACGTCATGTGTCTTTTGTTAATTCATTTCAACTGTACTTGTTGCCTATAAAATTCATTTTTTTTCTTCGTCTGACATTTCAACGCCATATTGTAGAATTACGTCAAATATCGTGTTCCAAAATACGTTAAAACCACACAGCATTTGCAATTAGTAAAACAGGCAACATATTTCTCTAGCATGATCATGAATTCCTCGTTATATTTTTCAGATATTCACTATTTTTTTATTTTTTTTTGGCGAATCATATAAATACACTTCTCAACCCCTAACCTATGAGTTTAATTTTCTNATGGGACTCTCGATCTATTTTTCCAGGGCGCTTCCACTCTGTACGGCCCACACACTCTCAGCGGCTACATTCAGGAATTCAAGAAGCTTGCATCAGCCCTCGTCAGCGGCCAGCCTGTCAAGCCGGGCCCACAACCCCCCGATCTCTTAGACAAGCAGATCAGCCTTCTCAGCCCAGTCGTGATGGATGCAACTCCAATCGGCATAAATTTCGGTGATGTCAGCTTAGACGTGCCCAAAAACTCAATCTTCAAAAGAGGCGAAAATGTGACCGTCGTTTTCTGGTCAGCCTGCCCAAGGAACGATCTAATGACCGAAGGCACGTTTGCATTGGTGGAGATTCTCAAAAAGAAGGACACTTGGCTGCCCGTTTATGATGACGATGATTTTTGCCTTCGGTTTAAGTGGTTGAGACCTTCGAAACTCAGTACCAGGAGCTATGCAGCGATCGAGTGGATAATACCACGAGAAGCTGAGCTGGGTATTTACAGAATTAGGCATTTTGGTGCTGCGAAGCGGCTTTTGGGGCCAATTAAGCATTTTAAAGGTTTGTCGAGTGCTTTTGTGGTGGCATGACAAAGTTTTACTAACATGGATGTGTAGTGTTGGCATCTTGTGATATTTATAGGGACGATTGATCGTCTTTGATCTGTGTATAGAAATTGAATTCTACGGTCTTTATGTAACCCCCCAGCTTAGCTATTTTAAGTTAACACCTAACACACTTGCTATACGAACCCACGTTTCTGTATTCAAAAATGCACTTGCTACTAACTTACCTGGAGAAATCTTTACTTTACACATTTGAGATAATATATCAGATTTTCAGTTTTAAACTTTAATCATTTGTTATATCAGAATTCAGATGTTCAGTTATAAATTTTTGTTACCTAAGGTTTTGTACTTGAGATCTATTTCATTGAAAAAAAAAAGTGATAATAATGACGCCGGGATTGAAGTAGTAAACATGTTGGAAATGTTAAAAGTTAGCAGCGAAATTATGAGAAGTCAATAAATTCGAAACTCAAATTGATTTCAGGGTTTTGAACCCCATCAAAGGTTAACACATTGAAATCACATTCAAAGTTTAAGTTTTTCATCCAAACTAAAAAATGAAAACGGAAAAAAAGTGACACATTGAAATCACATTCAAAAATTTAAGTTTTTCATCCAAACTAAAAATGAAAACGAAAAGCCTGAGTCACAATTTAAGTTTTTCATTCAAAATTTAAGTTATTTTAAATGGTCTTATACTCGTATTAAGGTTCAAGTCTGATTTTAATCTAGAAAAAAAGGTCTTATACTTCATCTTAAGAATTAGTATAAATATCGCAAAAAATTATTTTCACGTTCACTTGGAGTCGCAATCTCTCACCAACAATATCTAGCATTATTATTTTGGCAATTCTCTTACCAACAATATCTTCCAGCATTATTATTTTGGCAATTCTCTCACCAACAATATCTCCCAGATCAAACATTATTATTTTGTGAATTTAAGTATGTTAATACATCATTTTGACAAAATATATATAATCAATACCATTAAATTTATAATATAATTTAAAAAATTTCAATTCTTTTTTATCATTTTTTAAGTAAAATAATATGCCTTTTGTTGAAAAAGTGTGTACAAATAAATACCAAAAAATTATAATTTAATCTACGACTTAAACTACAAATTGATTTTTTTCTTCAAACTTAGTTAATATTATTAATTGTATGACCCTATGAGACCATACTGCCTATTCTGCTTGATACTGGGGAAATGAAACAACCTTATGACTGGGCGGTCAGTAAACAATTCTGCCAAAATTTGTTACTCTCCCCTTTAAGTAGTTAAATATTTAATTAATCCGTTACAAAAAACTCGGATCAATTTGTGTTGGGATCCTGAAAAGTTTGGTAAACTGTATTACACGTGATATCTTGTGCTTTTCGGAAAGTTTTGCCTAGTCTAATGATAATTTGTAGATTTGATTTTTTTAGTGACATGATTCATATATATATATATATATATATATATAGGGGTTGGTTCAAATAAAAATTAGTCCTGGTGTGAGAACTGTATTTGATGCTATTTTTAATTATGTATGATGCTATTTTTAATATTACATAGTGCTATTATTTTCACAAATACTAATATAAATTGTGTTGCTATTTTTAATCAAATACATCTTGATTAGAAATAGCATTAAAACACAATGTCATAGCACTACGCACAATTAAAAATAGCGGTTCTCACGGTTCTCATACTAGAACTTGATTCTCATTTGAACCTCATTGATTTAGGATATATATTTATTTCTATTTATCTTTTTTATTATTCCTTTTATGTTTAATATTTAATTGGTAAGATAATATTTATTATTCTTATTATTGGTATTAGAATATTTAGTAAGAAATATTGTCTTGTTAGACAAGTTAGGAGTAGGGTTTAGGAACCTTATTTAAATGATTCATCCTCTTTTGTAATTTTCATTTGATTATGAATTATGGAATGAAAAGATGATTTGATATCATGTTTGGATGTGTTTGAGATTGCAATCTCATTAATATCGTCTTACTCATACACTTCCCTACATAAGTTAGTATTAGAAGTCACGTGGTGTAGACTATTGTTATTATTATTATTGTTATTTTTTTGGAGAATAAGTTAAGAAATTAGAATTAAAAATTTTTGAAATGTGATTTTCAATAAATATTATAATACTTGTCAGTTATTATGGTCAAAATCTATTAATGCCCAATTACGTCTTAGGTTTAACCAAAAATCTAATCCCTTTTTGATAATCGATTTTGCATCTAATAGATAAGTATCTCATTTTCAAAGTATAGTAAAAATTGGATTTTGCCAAAAATTTTGTGAAAAATGAGCTCGTTCAACAGAACATGCACTGATTTCTTTACCCAAAAAAATGGATTTGAAGTTGATTTACTAAAAGATCGAAAAATGGTTAAGAAAAAGAAAAAAGAATCCCCCAATTGTAAGAAAAAAAAAAAAAAAAGAGAAAGGAATTCACAATTGTTAGGTAACATCAATTTTCAAAATATGCACTTTTTTTCCCTAAAAAACATGATATGAAATTGATCTGCATGCTCCCGTTTTTTCTCATAAAATTCTATTAAATTGATTTGAATATTACCCATCACGTTTGTAAATTAAACAAACATAAACGTAGTTTAGTGTGTATTTTTGAAGGAATAAATCCCTTCAATTAAGGGATTTTGTTTCTTTAAACAATATAAAAAAAATATCTCCACAATTTCAAAATTTTCAACTATCTGGTTAAACTCCTACCGCCGCACTTTTTAGTGCAATTTCAAAATTTTCAACTATCTGATTAAACAAACTCCTACATCCGTTATTTTTGGTGTCCAATTTAACAAACTTGATTGGTTACCAAATTGCATAGGCGAGAAATGTGAAAAAATTCGAAAAAAAATTACGAAATATATAAGCGAAAAAATGACTATTATGAAGCGGGAAAACGAATTATTTTTTTTTTCGAATTGTTTGAATATTTTTTCTTAACTGTATTATATAATAATAGATTAATCGGTTACAAAAAACTCGGATCAATTTGTGTCACGTATGACCTGAGATACTGAAAAGTTTGGTAAACTACTGTTACACGTGATATCTTGTGTTTTTCGGAAGCATTAGAGCATCTCCAATGATACATGGATTACTCTATTCCATTACCACCTAACTCCAAAAATCCAATGTGGAATTTAAAAAATGTAGAAGTCTTTCTAGATGTAGAAAGACTTCTAGACCTCTTCTATTTTATATTATATCATTTATTTTATATATTTCTTTCTTTACTAACCAATTATTATCTTACGTGTCAAATTATTCCACAACTAACATTAATCATGGGAGACAAAATATTTTTATTCCCTTTCTCCATGCCATTCATCTCAAAATAGACATTCAACCATTAGAGATGCTCTTAATGTTTTGCCTAGTCTAATGATAATTTGTAGATTTGATCTTTCTATGTTGATTTTTTTTATGACCTGATGCTATTTATTTATTTATGATCATTGATTTAGGATATATATTTATTTCTATTTATCTTTTTTATTATTCCTTTTATGTTTAATATTTAATTGGTAAGATAATATTTATTATTCATATTATTGGTATTAAAATATTTAGTAAGAAATTTTGTCTTGTTAGACAAGTTAGGAGTAGGGTTTAAGAGCCTTATTTAAATGATTCATCCTCTTTTGTATTTTTCAGCTGCTTATGAATTATTGAATGAAAAGATGATTTGATGTCATGTTTAGATGTGTTTGAGATTGCAATCTCATTTCCCTACATCAGTTGGTATTAGAAGTCAACACGTGGTGTAGACTATTGTTATTTTTATTATTGTTATTTTTTGGAGAATAAGTTAAGAGTTAAATATTATTATAAGAGACCTTGTCTTGTTGGATATTAGAAATATGGTTTAAGAGCTTTATTGCTCCCTATATTTTGTTTTAGGTAGTTGATTATGAATTATTGAATGAAAACATGATTTGATATGTTCCCTACATCAGTTGGTATAAGAAGTCAGCACGATTGACAATGTTGTCGCGAAGACAAGATGCTGCAATGTCGTCGCGAAGACAAGATACTGTAAACGACAAGCGTACTGCCGCCATCTACAACCTGAGCCGCCGGACCGAGGGGTTTGGTCGCCAGCTCGAGATGATGGGTCGTCGGATTGATGGGTCGTCGGATTGCAGATCTGTCCTAAGAGATCGAGGACATACGTCTAACCCTTCATACTATGATTCGACACAAGCAAACGTACCGTGCGCCGACAACTGGGGCGAGCGCGGGAGAGTTCGTGGAGAACGTGGAGGCCGTGGTCTAGGTGGGGCGCCCTGTTGATGATCTCCACAACTACCGTCCGGCGACAAAGACGACGAGGAGACAATCTCGAAGGTGAACCCTTTCGGTGATTATCAACCTCTGCACGTCGAGGCTGAGCCTATTGTCGCGCACAACGGCCAAAATGTGCAGCACCAAGGCACAATTTTTGAGGAAGATGACGACTAACGACATGGAGGTGGCGGTGACCATTGATGGGAGGGCCTATTTCGCGTGGACAACAATGCAGATGTTAAATTTTTTACCAATGGATCATGACGATGACTGAAATGCAATTATTACTTTTTCTACCAATGGATCAACATATACACCTTTGACCTTTGAGTGTTTGTGTGTGTATGTTTTGATCAACAATAAAAAGTCTGCTACTTTGAATGAACACACACTCTTGCGGATGAGTGTTGATTGTATGCTCGAAACACACTATCAGCACCTTATAAACTTATGCTTCGTTAGTTGCCGGCCGCACTACTCCACTTTGTAGAAAGGGATAACAGATCTAGAGTAGAGATATTTTGGGAAATTTTCTCATGTTCTTAGCTCAAAAAAGAAGTACAGAAGTAGGGATATAAAGACCCTCAGCTCGTTTTACATGACGAGGACAAAGTAGTCCTTTCACAATTAAAATGCAATAACAAAAAACAGAAAAATAAAACACGAGTCTCATAATAAGAAAATGCGACAAAACAACAAAAAAGAAAACATCATGCACAGCATGATTAATATGATGAAGAAATGATTATGTCAACACCCNCCCCCCCCCCCCCCCCTCAAGTGGGAATGGGTGAGTAAGCTCGCATTCCCAACTTGCGCAAGAAGAAATGAAAGTCACGTCCCCCAAGAGCTTTAGTGAAGAGATCCGCAGGCTGTGCTGAAGATGCAATGCGAGAAGGAGCAATGAAGCCAGCTTTAAACATATCCCGCACCACATGACAATCGATGTCCAAGTGCTTG